TTAAATATTTTAACTTACTTATTTTTGGTATGTTTATACTCAGCTGTGCTACCTTGTGCCACCAGATCTCACCAAATAACTTGCTCAGTAAATCAGAGTATGATGAGGAGGAACACCAAGTAACACAAAATGCTATAGGATGTGGTGATGTTAGCTTGCTGTCTGGGTTAAGGGGTCACTGTGCTGCTGCTGTCTTTGTTAACACTGAGGAGTCAGCTAAATTTCAGCTTGAATAGTTAGGTTCCATCTAGTTGCTTCTGCAGTTTCAATTGGAAATGCCTTTCATTGCCTCAAAGATATGTTATGAGCCTTGATTAGTGGTTTGTGTATTGCTTTGAAATCTTTGATATAGAGAGATTAAAATACATTTATATGCATGTGAACAACTACTAAAACACTCTCAGATAGGTTTTTTTAGTAGAGGAGAGATTTTAATTTGAAGGGGGTTGCATTGTTTATTATTCCAGAGGGCTTCAATAACTGCTAGAGATTGATTCTGACTCTCTGTTAAGATTTGTGACTTTTGATGTATGTTTAAATATACAGTGTAACATAATTGCCCAACTGGAAAACAATATTGCATGCAGAAGCTCCAAATATTCTTGATTTCAACATATTTATCTATCCTCTAGGAATATACAGATGTCTGCAGAAGTTTAATTTCTTCTGCAACACAGAAAAAAAGCCAGGTAGCTAGAAAATGATGGCTGTTGCAGTACATACCAGCTTTGTGTTACAAAACTACAGTCATTGCTGAATTAGTTGCACCTAATATAAGTGTTCGTTATGTCTTTGGTAATCCCATCCTCCCTTGCTGGCACCTCATCCTACCAACAAATCATCAATTCTGACTCCTACTAATACTTTTTTTTATGTTGGGTGAGTTTTGTCTAATTTAGGGTGGGAGGGTTATATTTTAAGGGGCTGACATGCTGTCTGGGATGCTCACAAGATGAACCTGCACTTCAAGTTGAAGCAGACAGGAGCCTTGGTTCACCTCTGGGTTATGCTGTCTTCTGTTAGAGTGAAGCAAGATGTCCACTGTAGCAGGGGTTCTGCAAGAGGCCTGCACAGCCTTCAGTGAGAGACAGGGATATGGCCCTGGTGCCTGAGGGATGCATTAATTCAGAGAATTCCTTAGGAAGATTTTCCCAGTGGGGCTCCTAGTGGAGTCCAGGCTACATTTTAAAGTGACGTCACCCTGGGCTAGGGCAGCAGTGCAAATGTCCTTTGCTCTCCTGTTGGGTGAATGCCCCACTGGTGCACGGAGACTGCTGCTGCTACAAGGGTTGCCATGTCCCTGGCCTGTGCTAGTGAGGGCGAATCAAGGTGACTGCCAGTAGCCTAGTCTATGCATGGGACTTGCCTTGATTACAGTGATTGGTGGCACAGCAGCTGTTTCCACCAGTGCAGTTTTCCCCGGCTTGAAAAAAGCTGCACTGGCATAAATGATTGCTTATAGTGGGTTGTCTCATATGCATTAGGAGATTGCACTGGTGCAGCGACACAAATGGCTGGTCACCAATGGCTATAATGGGGGCAAATTACCACGGTAGACAAGGCCTATAATGCAGTGAACTCTGTTTCTGCTGCTGCCTTCCATTGTGGCAGATTCCCATAAACTCCGGTAAATGAGGTAGTGGATGGCTGTGTAGTGTAGGCAGAGATTCTCAGAGTGCTGCTGTTGGTGACAGTTGTATGAGTGGATTACAAAACAGTGAGTGATCACCAGCTTGCTTTATTTATCTGTCAGAGTTGCAGACTGGATAATTGTTGTTATTAGGTACTGGAACAAAATGCCTCTTTAGCGGAGATGTCACACATTCTAAACAGCATGTTCTGTTTTGAACACACAGCATTTCCAGTGGGGCCATTAGCTCTAAATATACAAGACCTACAGAAGCGGGGTGAACAGCCTGTTTCATAGAACCATCTGAAACAGTGTTTGTGTTCAGCACACTTTGTATAGAAATATGAGATTAGATAGCTCATGCTTCACATTGATTTTATTAGCAGCAGCTTTAATATCCCATTTTTCATCATGCAGTGAAGAGACAGAATTTGCTGTTTTGATTTTTTTTCCCCCATCAAGTCTTCACATGCATTTCCATGTGCAGATCTTGTTTCCATGGCATCAACGTTTAAACCCCAACATCATTGGTGGGCTGCATTAGCCAATGAAAACACATTAAAAATCAGTACTGCTATAATGTATGGTCATGTTGCATGAAGAGTACAATAATACAGCGATATGTTATGCATTTTAATGTGCCAGTGCTTGAAGCTCTGAGTAGCTGTAACATTGCAAGATAGAAGTTTTACAGCTACTTAACTAGTCCCCTTCCAAGGCCATTGTTTTCTCTCAGTCCTCATATGTTAATTGTTCCAGAAAATGAGATCCATCACAAAACGTATGATGGATTTTAAAACAATTTGTTTAAGCCCATAGGCTTCCATTTCTTGGCTCAATACATTCAAACCAGAGGAGATTTGTTGAATCTCAGCTGTCAACTTTATTAGTATAGCCTTTATGAAATAAGATTCCAGGATGGTCCGTCACTCTGAAGCTTAGAATGTCTGAGTCAGTGTGAAGTAATGGAAACAGCTACAAGTGTGGCTGCGAGTGCTTATTGTTCAGACTATCACCAGGTTCAGTCATCACTGGGATTCATGGTCTGTTACCATCCTATTTTTAAGTTCTCGGTCATTTTAACTTGATGAATTACACCCATGTGACAGTAAGGTAATAGCTATTGTGATAAATTCAGGACAGATGGCTGCAAGGGGTGTGAGTGTGTTTAGAAAACAGTCCCAGAAGGTTAAAAGGCCCTCCTCCCTATCAACTGAGGAGGGGTGACTACAGGTCAATCAGGTTCAGCTGAGAAAGGGTTACCAGAGATTAATTAGGATCAGCTGAGAGGGCGTTACCTGAGGTCAATTAGGATCAGCTGATTACAACTAAGGGCTGCCTGAGACCTTTTTAGACCCTCCCCTGTTGGGAGAAGGGGAAGAGAGAGAGAGAGAGGAGTCAAGCTACCAGTAGGTGAGTAGCAGCAAGGGATCAAGCCTTTCCAGGAGCGGAGGCTGCATTCCCTCCCATAAGGGAGAAAAACAAGCGCAAAACACTGGCTGAGAAAAGGACGGGCTGCCCTTGTGCAGCCAAGAGGGGCTTTTTTACCCCAAGCTCGTCTCACCAAGGCTAAAACAGCTGAGGCTGGTGAGACCAAGAAGGTGTCTTGCCACACTATGTAATGCCAAGAGTCTGAGACCAGTGTGATATCGGAGGTAATTCGTCTAGACACCATTGTTACTCTACAGCTAATTTGCAAGCAACAGTTTCATTGGTTGTATGAGGGAGACTCCACTTATGGTGGATTACGTGGCCCAACTGCCAGAACATGGGCTTCCAGCTACCAGTTAGCTAATAATAAGGTGTTTTCATGTCACAGTAGTGCTGTTTTGCATACTCAGTACCCTTGATTATAGCGTTTACTTCTAACACAATGATTCAAGACTGGATGTCATAGACATATGCTAGCTCAACCCAAAATTGTGGGTTTCACGAAGGAAACACTTGGAGAAATCTTATGGCCTTTGCAATGCACGGACTCAGAATACATGATTACAATGATCCCTTCTGGCCTTAAAAAAAATCTATAAATCTAGTATCCTTATTTAAATATTATATTTTTTTAATAGTAGAAGAGTATAGTTTGATTGCAGTTTATTCTGGTTAGCTCAGTAACCTCAGAGATTAGCAGATTTATTATGCTCAGAAATTCCAGATTTATTATGAACTGGGTGCATGGGTTCCTTTCCTGGTGATTTACTTGGTCAAAAGATTAAAACTAGAAGGAAGTAATTAAAAGAACCTTTTATCTAGTGAAGTCCACATGATGTCTGATAGATGGTTGCTGCCATCAGTCAATATTCCAGAAGAATGCAGAGGTAGCACTACCTGCCTGCAGTAGGTATGGTCCACTGAAGGAACGAGTATTAAATCATTAGGGATTAAATTAGGATATGGAATTTGGTCACTGAGCTTCCCTGACGTGTGTGATAGCAGCTCACGCATTTTCCATCTTCATAGCAGCAGCAAAACTTAAAAAAAAGCTTTGTGGGTACATGTCTCTGCTGACTTTAAAGTCCTGGGCAGAGAAAAAAGAGAGAGAGTGAGTGGTGGAGGGGAACCTTTTAAAATACAGATCACGCTTTTATCACAGATCATCAGGACAGAATTCATTTCAAATTGACATGGGGGAAAATTTCAGCCGAATTAGCTGCTTTCAGATTAGTTTATGGTGCTACCTTTAACAAGCAAGCTAAAAAAAGAATTGCATTATTTCCCTCTTTAAACTATACAAATTACAAAAAAATTCTGAGTTTAATGCTGGTGGAAGGAGCATGATGAAATCTGCATTATGAAATCCTTTGCAGTACATGTCCTCTCCTCCAGGCGAGGACAGGGGGGATAGAATCACTGGAAGCTTCCCCACACAGCCTTTCCAATAAGTCTCAATGCTGGAATGCTCAATGTTCAGGAAATATCAGTAGCTGTAAATGGGTGAGAAGGAAATTAGATCTTCATTGTCCATTTGATTCCTGATCTTTCCTCCTTTGACCCTGATCCCCAAAAGACTTATGCTCGTGCTTAGTTTATGTGCACAAATAGTCCTATTGATATAAGTGCATAACGTTAAGGTCTTTGCAAATCTGCGGTCTACCTTATGAAAAAGGATAGAAGTACCAATTGTGATTTTGGTTGTCTTTTTTTAATGTAAACAGCGGTTTATTAACAAATGAAGTGAGACCACTAATGAAATTTTCTCAGAAATGTACAGTAGTGTACTTCAAACTTAATTTTACATTGTACAAACCACAATTGTTTTTCAGCCTAATTTTTAATTTCCTGTCATGGTTGTGGTTGTCTCTGTCCTAGTACTGTATCTACTTAAACTTGTCCACAGATTCTCTTTCATTCATTCACATTTCTTTTGCAGATTGCATGTGGCTCAGAGCATAATCTGGCAGTAGTTGGTAAGTAGCTTAATTTTATATGAAATACTATGGTTGCTTTTTTTCTCATTTGTAAGGAGCACAAGATTAAAAGAAAATGTACCCAGTGAATTATTACAGAATGCTTGGTAGAGCTGCATCTGGTAGCAGAAAGGAGGAAACAATCTATTTGTATTGGTGAGAAAAGAAATCTGAAATATAAAAAGCACTGGTAATAATGATACCTGGATAGCACTTTTCAATGTTCCTGCTGACTACAGAGAAAGGGAGAGTAGGGAGTAGATGAGTGTAACAGCAAAATTAATTTAAGTTGTTCTAGGACATATTTTACAATCGAACCATTAAAGCATGAAGTCACAAATTCAAAGGAGCAGCTAATCTTGGTCAAAAATTGGTAAACATTTTAAGTGAAATATTTCATGGAAAAATTCTTGTAGTTTTTGTTGAAATTTTGAAAATGTTGAATATGATAGCCAGCGTTATTTAGCATATATAGTACCTCTCTACTTAAATGTGGCTCCTATAGTAATGGTGAAAGGTTCTAGGCCTAACGCCAATGGAAAGATAATCCTGTCTTCCAGTACCAGAAATAATCAGATCCTGGATTTCTACTGACTTCACAGGATACCTGCTGATGTGCACTGGGACTGAACCCTCATGATGTGTAATTATAGTAATTATTAATACCCAGTTCTTATATAGCACTATTTCCATCGTAGATGTTGAAGTGCTTTTACAAAGGAAGTCAGTATCACTATCCCCATTTTACAGATGGAGAAACTGAGGCCCAAAGAGGGGAGAAGTGACTTACTCAAGATCACCCAGTAGGCCAGTAGCAGAGCTGCAAATTAAACCCAGGGCACCTGAGTCCCAGTCCAGTGCCCTAGCCACTAGACCACACTCCTCCACTGGTTCAGGCTTTAAGGTGTTAACAAGGAATTTGCCTAATTGTGACCCTAAATGAGGAATCAGTGGGAGTCATGCCCTTCAGTATCCAAACATAGATCCTTGTGTATCCTGTAAAATCAGAGCAAGTCTGGTAGTTACCCAGATAGACTATGAATATAATAGTTTTTATCAGAAAATATTTTGAGTGTGTGTTACAAAAATAGGGTTAGTACTTATCCATTTTAGGCCCAAGCAGCCCATTTTATTTAGTACAGACTTTTTTTTTTTTTAAGAGAAGGATTCTTTGGATGAACTGATTTTCTGAGTCCTATCTGCCTGTGATGGGGTGGACTATGCCCAGAGGCCCCCTGCTGGAGGCCTC